GAATTGTTTAGGTAGATTGAGATCTCACGAATGCAAAAAATAATCTCTTGGTTTCTGATACCAACATAATACCAGAAGGTCTGGTTTCGCTTTTATGAATGCGAGCGTGTTTTGCTTTCGGCCAACCTCCCCTCCACGTGTTAATCTCATTCAGTACTCCTCCCTCCCACTCCTTTTTTTTTTTGTTTAACCCACAAAATACATGGGATGAATTTCTTTTAAAAAAATGTTTTTTCCAGGGATGTCACTACATTCAGCCTGTGACTGCGGGGACCATTTGTTCAGATTTCTCTTCCCTCAAAAACACCCAGGAGCTTTAAAAGCATTGGGTAATGGTAAGCAATATCATAATTGTACTACTACCCCCCTCCCCTCTGTTACTTTTGCAATTATTATAAAAAAAATTAAAAGAAGAAATATGTCTGTCATTCTCCATTAATTTCTCGAACTAATTATTATTTTAGTATTAATTTCTTTTATTATAATTAGATTTCAAAACCCATATTAATTTTTCACTTCCCACTCCGCTCGGCAGCTGTTCTTAACTCTCTTCTTCTACCAGTATTCATCGAACAACCAACCCTCTTCATTACCTGCACAATAACGCGCATAAAGGTCCCTCCTTCCTCGGCCTCCAAATCCCTTCCTCCATATTCTCACTTTTCTTGTTATCAGCTCCCAGATTCAAAGAAAAAGACTTCTTTCTCTGATTAAGTTATTTCTTGGCCTGAAAAATGGCTGAGAACCCGGTTAAATGGCTGTTTTTCTTTTTAACAAGCTTTTTAGTGTTCGGTACCGTCTTCTCTGTACAAACCCCTGCCACAAAGAAGACTTATATTGTTCACATGGATAAGTATGCTATGCCGGATTCATTTTCTGATCACCTCCAGTGGTACTCTTCGAAGGTAAATGCTGTCATCTCTAAAACAGGGGAAGATGGTGAAGCAGAGGATGAAGACAGGATCATCTACAGCTACCAGACTGCCTTCCATGGTGTTGCTGCTCAGTTGAGTGAAGAAGAAGCCGAAAGACTAGAGGAAGAAGATGGTGTGATGGCTATAATCCCAGAGACAAAATACGAACTGCATACCACGAGGAGTCCCATGTTTCTTGGGCTGGAGCCAGTTGCGAGCATCAATGTCTGGTCTCAAAAATTTGGAGACCAAGATGTCGTAGTGGGCGTGCTCGATACTGGGATTTGGCCGGAGAGCGAGAGCTTCAACGACACCGGTATGTCCCCCGTTCCTGCTCGCTGGAAAGGAGCGTGTGAAACAGGCAGAGCATTCTATAAGCATCATTGCAACAGAAAAATTGTCGGTGCCAGAGTCTTCTATAGAGGATATGAATCGGCGACGGGAAAAATCAATGAGCAAACGGAGTATAAGTCACCCAGAGACCAAGACGGCCATGGAACGCATACAGCGGCTACCGTTGCCGGCTCGCCTGTGCATGGTGCTAATCTTCTTGGGTATGCGTATGGAACAGCCAGAGGAATGGCACCTGGTGCAAGAATTGCAGCGTACAAGGTTTGCTGGGCTGGCGGTTGCTTCAGCTCAGACATTCTGTCGGCGGTTGATAGAGCTGTAGCTGATGGAGTTAATGTTTTATCCATCTCCTTAGGTGGCGGTGTATCGTCTTACTATCGTGACAGTTTGTCTATAGCAGCTTATGGGGCAATGGAGATGGGTGTTTTCGTCTCCTGTTCGGCTGGAAATGGAGGGCCCAGTCCTGTCAGCCTCACGAATGTGTCTCCATGGATCACAACAATTGGTGCGAGCACCATGGACAGAGACTTCCCGGCCATGGTTAAACTGGGAACGAAAAGAACAATAACAGGAGCTTCACTTTATAAAGGGAGAAGATCTGTGTCGTTGAATAAGCAATATCCTCTGGTTTATATGGGTACCAACTCCAGCAATTCCGATCCGAGATCGTTGTGTCTGGAGGGAACTTTGGATCCACATCTTGTTGCCGGAAAGATTGTGATCTGTGATCGAGGGATTAGTCCTCGAGTACAGAAGGGTCAGGTTGTCAAAAACGCAGGAGGGATTGGGATGATTTTGTCAAACACAGCATCAAATGGAGAGGAGCTGGTTGCAGACTCCCATCTTCTTCCAGCAGTTGCAGTGGGCGAGAAGGAAGGTAGATCCATCAAGCGTTATGCTTTAACAAATCGAAATGCAACAGCGACTCTGGGTTTTCTAGGTACCAAATTGGGAATTAAGCCGTCACCAGTTGTAGCAGCATTTTCATCAAGAGGACCCAATTTTCTCACGCTTGAGATTATGAAGCCTGATTTAGTAGCACCAGGAGTCAACATTCTCGCAGCTTGGACCGGCGACATGAGCCCGTCAAGTCTACCGACGGATCGACGCCGGACGAAATTCAACATCTTGTCTGGAACTTCCATGGCCTGTCCTCATGTGAGTGGCGTGGCCGCATTGCTCAAGGCTCGCCACCCAGAATGGAGCCCAGCAGCCATTAAATCTGCTCTGATGACAACAGCTTATGTCCACGACAACACGCATCGTCCTCTGCTCGATGCCTCAACAGCTTCTCCTTCAACTCCGTACGATCATGGCGCCGGACATATAAACCCATTGAAAGCTTTAGACCCAGGTTTGATTTACGACATTGAATCTCAAGATTACTTCGAATTCCTCTGTACCCAGAAATTACCCCGTGGGCAGCTCAGAGTTTTTGGGAAGAACCCAAACAAAACTTGCAAAAACACTCTCGCCAATGCCGGAGACTTAAATTACCCAGCCATCTCAGTCGTTTTCCCAGAAAAGCCCTCTGTTTCTTCTCTGACTCTCCACAGAACTGTCACGAACGTCGGCCTACCGGTTTCGAATTACCACCTTGCAGTTTCAGAATTCAAAGGTGTTTCCATCAAAGTCGAGCCGGAGATGCTGAAATTCACCCGGAAAAACCAGAAACTCTCTTACAAGATTACATTCACCAGCAAATATCAGCAAACGGCGCCTGAATTTGGAGGTCTGGTGTGGAAAGATGGAGTACACAGTGTAAGAAGCCCAATCATAATCACTTGGCTGCCATCTCTATAGATCATGCCGGTAGATTTTTCATTTCTTGGCATGGAGATCTTATGGTTCAACAATAAACAAGATGTTTTGTTTTCAGCAATGCAAATTTTCAACTCTACTTCTTGCAATGATATATAACGGAAGCATAGTTGCTGGATTTAAAGATTTGATATCTCAATTTAAATGTAATTTGTTTTCGGATTATAAAGCAGAGAATGAAGATTAATTTGTCATGATTGAATTGAAATCTCAATATAGTTTCAGATTCTGAGTGCTACGAATTTTACTAGTAACAAATTACTAAAATTAAAAGAAATTATAACAAGAACGCACTAAAATTGTTTGGTAAGTAACATAAAAAGAAAACATAGGAGATGCCACAATGGAAGAAAAGAATCAGAATATTAAATGGAAGTTCTTGCATATTTTGGTATTAAGTAGAGAAGAAATTATTGTAAGTCTGAAATCAAATCTCCATTAATAGCAGAGAGGATTGGCGAAGAGGCAGTTGATCAGATCAAGATCGGACTCCAAACATATCTTGTAAATCATGATACCTGCAACATTAAAGCTGGAGTGCTGTACTCATTTATTGCCCAAGCTTCTCTCATCTCATTCTTACATAACTATCTCCACCTATTTCCTCCATTCATAAATACCAATTTTTATTTTTTTTTTAAATTTATCCCTTAATTTTATCTTTTTATTTATTTTTTTTTTCTAGTGAGTTAATTAGCCTACACCTTGATGAGTAGATTTTTATTATAGATTTTTGAGTTTTGAAGTAGAAGATTTTAACTTTCAACTTTTTGCTAATCTTGTAGACTGAATCATGTGTTTTCATGATGGAAGGATTTCGACCTAATTATATGAAAAATGTTTCAATGAGTGAATATTTTATATAACCAACTAAAGAAAAAAACTTTTTAAAAGCTCATAAAAGTTTGAGTAAGCTTTTATGTGGGGAAAAAAGGGTGGAAGTGAAGTGGTCAAAAAACATGGTAAAGAGGAAAAGGAAGAAACAACTTCCATACTTGCACCAAAAACCAAAACTATCTTCTCATGTATGCTTATTCATAATTCTTTAACCAACATAGGCACCTCTTTATAATTTTTTATAATAATATCAAATAATCATAAATTAAGCAAGATAGTTAGAGTATTATAAACAAAGAGTAATAAAATTTAGAATCTCTTTGCAAAGTCATAAAATATAAGTACAACCTCCATAAATACTTCTTTTGATACCACTTTTTAGGGATCTAAAAAATTAAAAAAAAAAATCTTAAATATAAAAAGTAAACAAACAAAAGATTAAATTTAAAAAAAAAATAACCAATTTAGCATCTCCCTCCAACACGAAATGGATATAGTCCATCAACAAAACTATTTCAATATCATAGGTCTAAACCATTAACTCAGCTAACTTCATTTGTAAAGGACTTGAGATCTTCCTCATCCTTGCAAACCCAAAATTATAATCAATAGAAAAGTTATGTAATGTTAGAGTTCAAGATTTGACTTAATATTATCTAATTGTCTCTTAACTAAAGAAATTATCTGAAGTGGATCAATCCACTTTAATTCATACATCCACATTCCAATTTTTTTTTTTTTTTTATCTATTATCATTCATAAAATCATTACATACCATACATGAAAATTTATAACCTTTTTATTAGAAATCATATTTAATTACATATGAAAAGAAAAATCTTACAGTTATCAGTCTCTCATAAAAAAAAGATTTTGTCAACCACAAATTAACAACAAAAGAACAAAATCTAACTAAGTGATCAATAGATTTTTTAACTTCTTTACACACTTAAAAATTTTATCGATGTTCAACCCTTTCTTAATGATGTACTTCCTCATAGAAATGATATATTTATACAAACATCAAATATAATACTTCACTTTGAAAAGGACTTCTCGTCTACAAACTTGCCTCCAACTATTCGTTACACCCCTATGCAACTTCATATCTTAATTTAACAATGTAAGCCTTATAATTAATATGAACTCAAGCAAACTTATTAAGAAAAAGTCTATAATTAATTAGGATTTGAGAATTTGCTCTACTTTAAAAGACAAAAATAACGATAAATAAGTTATCAAGTAAGGATATCAGAATATATAAATCATAAACTATAATAAAAACAAGGAGTGGTGGTTTTTGAGATTAGGGGTCATTAATAAGTTAAAAAGGTAACTATCTTATCCGACCACATAATAATCTTGTGCTCATCACCTATTCACTTTTTGAGACTTATATTGACATATATTTACTTTTTTTATTTTTAATTTAAATTAATTAATTTTGTTAATTCTACTAGTCAATTAAGAAAGAATTTCAGTTTAAGGCACAATTAATTAGATTGTAAATCAACAATAAGAATTGTTAGTTAATTGTACTTAACTTTGTTGGGATTTAGTTGTTAATATAAAGATTCTTCTTGGTTTAAGTTGTATTCAAAATTTTATTGCTTTTTGTTACTTGTTATTATTGATTAGTTAATTATTAAAAAATGAGGAAAATAAATGGGAAAAAAACCTAAAAAAAGGAAAAAAAAATTGATCAAAAGTGAAATATATATATATATATATATATAGGCCCAACCCACTACATAGTCTTTAAACACAAACTTGTCTTCAGTCGACCCATTTCTCTTAAATCCTTAGGCACAACAGCCTTAGGGCACCCAGCTTATTCAACTTCATCGATAACCAACCACGAGAACCTCAAGTGTCACACCAACAGCTCCTTATCAGCATACAATGGGAACCTCGAGAGTGATACTATCAGCTTATTCATCAGCTAAGGTCGCGTGCAAGCTATATGCCATACTCGTGCCAACCATGTGCTAGATGCGCGCAAGTCATGTACTATACACATGTAAACCACATAAGAACTATGTGTCATACCCGAGGGAACCGTGTGCTAGCTGCGTATCATAATGTGCGAGACACATGCAAGTCATGTGCTAGATGTGTGCAAGTCATATGCTAAACATGTGTGACTCGCATGTTATACACGTGCAAACCATCTCTCAAACACATGAGTGATGCTTGTCATACGTGTGTGAGCCGTATGTTATACGTGTGTGAGCAGTGTACCAAACTCATGTGAGTTGTATGCCAATTGCATGCGGGTCGTGTGCCAAATGAGTGCAAGTCATATCCCAGCTGCGTGCGAGCCGTGTACCAAACTCGTGTAAGACATTTGCTAGCCATGTGTGAGCCATGCTATGCATGTGGAATGCTTATGGTCAAGTATGCTGCCATTTTTTAATTTTGTTATGCATGGCAGTATGGTTTAATAGGCTGCTGCTTGGAGTTAACCAATGGACCTTGAACTAGCAAACATTAGGAATAATTTTTTGTTGGTTTGAATTTCTCGAAGGTGATTTGAGATGATATTTTTTTCAACGAAAGATTTCAAATCTCAAGGAGACATATCAAAAGGTAGCTAGACATCTCTTACTAGTATGACAAATATGATGGATCTATGTTCAGGAAGAATACCTCTCTGAACTTTATAGATTCGGAAGGAGAAAGATCATTCCAAGTAAGATCTAAAGGCAAACATATTAAAGAAGAACAATCAGATATAATAGAGAAAATAAAGGGAGTTGAGAATAATCCTATTAGGGTCATAATAAGATTAAAATTTCTTTCTTTCGGTTCTTTTACAGATGCAATGAAAATGCAATTTTTTTATATACATATATATATACAAAAAATAGACATGCATATACCTATATCACGTAGAGATATTTTTTCAAAACCCTAACAATTCAATACATACACATATGTATACATACATAAATTCGATTTCTTTTTTGATGAAGGTCCACTTTTCTTCACTCGAGTTTTATATCTGGTTGGTTGAATATGACTTTTAACATCTTCCCACAAGATGAGAATAGATATTTTCTACTCCCATCTTGGATAGATGATTGTGCAGCTGACTACTCAAAAGTCTTTAGGCGAGAATTTTTACCAATTGTTGCTTGCTTCCCACATGCTTATTTTCATTTCTCTCACTCTCTAATTTTTTACGTACTAGATGACAATCCAATTGAATGTACTTACTTATTTCATAGAAAACATGATTAGAAGTAATGCACATTATAACTTTGTTATTATAATACATGGTAGTAACCAGTGGGTGTTCAACACCCATATCATTCAGAAGGTACCTTACCCATGTCAATTCACAACTAAGGCTTGTCATTACCCTCTACTTTACCTCTATTAAAAAACAAAAAATGGTGTGCTATTTCTTGGACTTTTAGGATATCATAGAGGACCCAAGGAAAACATAATATCCAATGATAGATTGTCATGTATCGAAACTAGTCCTCCAATCAGTATCACAATAGGTATTAAGCTGTAATTTTGAATAACACGGATATAATAGATCATGTCTTGTAGATTGCTTGATATACCTTAAAAATTTTATAGGTTGCATCTAAATGTTTATATTTTTCTTGCTCCATAAAACTGACTTAAAACATACACATAGTAAAGTAAGTATAGTCTTGTGAGGGTCAAGTACATAAGTCTTCCAACAAGCCTTTTATACATATTAAGACCAAGAATCAAATACCTATCTTTTTTCGATGACTTGAGGTTTTGATCAAGTGTTAGCTTTGAAGATTTTGCTAAAGTGGTAAGACCCGAGAGTATAAAAGAATTTCACCTAGTTAATTTACTAATGATTTTATATAAGATTGTTACTAAGCTCATTACTAATAAGCTCAAGGGTTTGATGCCTTTCTTGATTGGTCCTACCCAAGCTAGTTTTGTTGTAGGGCAGAATATTACAAATAACATCATTATTGCCCAAGAGGTGGTTCACTTAATACGAAGCATGAAAGATAAGGACATGTGGATGACCATTAAGGTGGATGTGGAAAAAGCATATAATCATATTTGTTGGGAATATGTTGAGGATATGCTTCTTGATGTTGGCTTCCCTCCTAACCTTATTAGAGTGATTATCCACTACATCTCCTCTTATTTATGTAATTGTTGGGGTCACCCATGAATTCTGACTTACTAGAGGCATTAGGCATGGTGAACCATTTTTCTCTTACATTTTGTGATATGTATAGAGCGATTAATCCCTTTGTATCAATAGTTTGGTGCTGAATAATACT